TTCTGATAACTATGTTCGTATACGCCTGGTGCGTATGGTTCAAAGAGATCTAATCTCTTAGGTCTTGTTATCTTATCTTTCGTGATGTCGGTTATCGATAGTCCTTGACTATGATCTTAGAGCGAGTTCGAGATGTACGTAGTAATAGAGGTAGAACTAGTCTGAGGTCTTAGGCCTCGTACATGAGGGTTTATATACCTATTCTACTAGTTGCTTACTAAGAAGGTCGAATGAGTCACATTGACTCATGAGACGTGAAGAGCGAATCAAGAGGACTCGCATTAATAGTACTAATACAGTCAAGGGTCCGAGAATGAGTTGCTACCGAGAATATGAGTCGTAAGGACTCATGGTTCGTAATCAAGCCGTTATGACTCATAAGGAGTCAAAGATGTTACAAAGAAACAGATAGAATGAAATAGAATCTACTAGTAGTGTCCAGTTGCTGATACTAGTAGATGTTCATACGAATACGAAGTAGAAAGTAAACCAATCGTAACATTACCTCCCCTCTAAGGCGACGAGCTGCCTTCAGCTCAGATAAACCTAACCGTCTTCTTAGAGTTAATACCATCAGTGATCTGATTAAATAGACCTCTGATGAATTTACCTACTTGGGGGTTCATCTTCTGCTGGGCCTTCTCGAGTCGACCTTGTCGAGGTCGGCCACCGCGTTGCATCTCCTTAACCGCCGACGCACGTCGCCATTCCGGGACCTTTGAACCTGGGGTCGGGGGGTGAGAGCGACGAGAGGGGCAGAGTCGGAGAGGATGGGAAGGGCCGAAGGTACAACAACCGGTGCAGAAGTAATCTCTGCACTCCCATCGGACGTGTCCCTCCAGACGGCAGAGATCGCAGCTGACGCCGAGATTCCTCTTCTTGATCCATACGGGCTCGCCACAGTTCCAATCGGGTCGTATCTCGACGAGGGACTGGGGGTCCGCAGGGCCCGGATGCTTGCGGTTCCAGAGGCGCCACCATGTCGACTTGTCGGAGAGGAATGGGGGCGAGGGGTAGTCCCAGAACGCTCGTGACGCTGTAGGCGTTGAACGTTGGAGACGAGGTATGGGTGGTAGAGTAGTAGTACTCACTACGACCCTAGGCGTACCCTCGATGTCCTCTGACCTGGACCCTGAGCTCGACTCCGATGGCGAGAGGAGAAGATCATTCTTGTAGACAGCGTCAATGAAATTCTCAAAAGATCTTTCATCGCCACATACCAGGTACTGCGTTGCCGCCTGGTTTAACTCCTCCGAAGGCTGGTATCCCTGAATAGGGAGTGGGTAACCGTTGGCATCAGCCTCGACCTTGATTTCCGTGGAGTTGTCCCTCCGACGATCGACGTAGGGCGCCTCAATGTTGGTGGCGAGGTGCGCAGGGGCGGGCGTGATGTCGAATGATGACATGGACGACGAGGACGAGGACGAGGAGTGGACCGAGGGGGAAGGTGACGTTGAACGGGCGGTTGAACGCTCGTGGCTGATTGGGAGCCGAGGAGGAGAGGGAGGGAGAGAGATGTCGACAGGTTCCTCCTTGAAGAAGGCAAGTTCGTTGTCGACAGTGGGAGGAGTGGGGATGGGTGTAGCGGGCCACTCGAAGGGTTCGGCGCCCCATTCATCGACTGCCATCTCCTCCTGGGGTTCCTCCTCCTGAGGTTCCTCCTCCTTGAAGAGCGAGTTGGTGGTTAGACACCAACAATTAAAAGGAGTATGAATAAGGCGTACCCTATTCTCATTCTCGTCGAGGTGCTCGACCCTGACCCAGTGCCAGCCGTCGAGTCGCTCCTCCCGCCTCCACCCTCTCTCCTCGGCATCGCGTCCGTCCCCGTTGGCGTAAGGGTTCGCCGACGTTGGCGCCCAAACGGTTTGATCTGTCATCATGGTATCATTGTCAGCACTCGAGTTGGGAGGTGTGACAGGAGTATGATGACCGTTCCCGTTGGTGATGGGCGACGATGGACGGGTAGGGAGATGAGAAGGGGCAGTGAAGTACTCACTGCGAGGGAGAAGAGAACCGTAGCTCGAGGTTGACGAGCTTGAGACTGAGCTAGTCTCGTCGTCGTCGTCCCTGTTGTCAGCAGAGAGCTGTTCGTCGACAAGGTGCTGGTGGCGCGCTGCGCCGCCGAAAGCACGAAGGAGGTCGTAGAGGTCCTGCCTCAGGCGACCGAGTTGGACGTGAGTGCTGCGGGCGGTGGTGATGTAGTCACCCATAATCTCGCCGTAGGTTCGATCGAACTGGCGAGGGAGACACTCGAGGTCCCAGGAGTCCTGGAGGGCACCGTAGAGGTGCTGGAACGCGTACCGGAAGGTACGACCGACGGAGACATGGTCGACGGTCTCGAACATGAAGGGCTCCCAGAACTGGTCGCGGTTGCGACGAGTAGCCAGGAACGTCTCGAGGCGGTCAGAGTCGGCGTCGCTTCGCGGGATGCGCATGTTGAGCATCGGCTGCTGGGGATGGTGGTGGTGACGGTGGGCACGAAGGCCAGAGGCTTGGGATGGTTCGGTAGACACGTTCGAGTTCATGGATGGGGTTCCTGGTGTTCCAGTGTTCGTAGTAAGCACGGGATGGGAAACCGGGTTGGTATTTGATATCGAAACCCGAAAGGTTGAATACATAAGTCTCACCTTGGGGGTCAACGACGAAGATTGTGTTGTTTAGGAGGTTGGGCATGTACTAGTGGATTGTCGTCCTTAAAGATTCGAGGACGGGAGTTTATATACTCCTCTAGAATTTCTTTTGCGCCCCACCTGCTTAGTTCTTCCCAGTCTATCCACTGCTGCGTTTCTACCGGTTCACCTTTGAAGCTGACCATGAAATGCCACCTTCGGTTCCGTCCTCTACCGAATTTCTGGTGTCCTACCAGAGCCTCTACTTCGTAGAGTTCTTCACCGTCTACAATCTCGGGTTCCTGCAACCGTTTATTCGGACCATGTATGCTATTTTCGACTGCTGGGGTGAGGAGACTAGCGTGGAAGACGTTGTGTATTTTCCACTTAGTCGGAATACGCAGTCGGTAAGCAATTGGGCTGATGACCTTGATGATGTCATATGGTCCTACTCTTTTCGGCTCGAACTTGCGACTAGAATATTTTAAATCGAGGTTCTTTGACTCGAGATAAACCTTGTCTCCCACATTGAATGGTTTGAAATTTGTCATGATTCTTTCGCTCATGACTCGTCTCGCTAAGTCATGGGAGGCTTGTGCTTCTAGCCTTGCGCGTTCTATAATTGCTAACCTCTGAGTCACATTACTGACTCGAGTTGACTCCGTGATTTCGGGAATTGGACTGGGGTGGTACCCCATCATGAGAAAGAATGGTGTTTCCTTTGTTACTGAATGCACATTGTTATTATGTACGAATTCAGCCATGGTCAAGTGTTCACTCCACTCTTCCGCTCTACCTTCACAGAAGATGCGAAGATAGGTTTCTATTTCTTGATTTACTCGTTCCGTTTCTCCGTCCGTTTGAGGATGAAAGGCTGTGGATAAACCAAGATCGTATTTTAATAATCTTGCGAGCTCTTTTGAGAACTCCGAGGCAAATTGTGGTCCTCGATCTGAGATTATTTTATCGTAGAGTCCGAATCTCTTGTAGATATTATCGAAAAATAATTGCGCTATCCCTTCTGAGGTGACTTCTTTTGTTGTAGGCATAAGTGCTACCCCCTTTGTAAGGCTATGGTCGACCACGACCAAAATAGAATCAAATCCGCCTGAAACGGGTAGATCCGTAATTAAATCGCAGCTGAGAACTGACCATGGTCTTGTTGTATTCGAAGCTATAGGGTTCAAGGGTGGTACCGTTGGATGGGTGTTGACTTTTTGAGTTTGACATTCACCGCAGCCTTCAACGTATTTGTTGATGTATTGTGCCATTCCTGGCCACCAAAAGTTTCTTGCAATTAATTCCCGTGTTCGGAACTTTCCTGGATGCCCTGCATGTGGCAGGTCATGATTCTGTTGAACGATATCACGTCTCAACTCCGGTGGAACATAAAGTCGGTCTTTGTAGAAAAGCTTTCCGTTTTCGTACTTCCACTTGTTCCGTACTTCTGGGTCTCGTCCCAGGGTTGACTCGTTTAAGGCTTCAACTGTCTTGGAAGCCCATTGATCGTTTGTTGTCGCTTGTTCCAGCTTCTCGCTTAGAACGGTGTCGATCACACGGATAATCATGTCTTCTGAAATTAAGGTTCGTCCCTGATTATCCTCGCTTGTGTCGACTTCATATCTTCGGGAAAGTATATCCGGGATTGTCATTTGCTTTCCGGGGATATATTTGAATTGGAGATTAAAGTTCATTAAGTCGAACAACCATCTCGCTTCCCTTCTTGATATCTTCTTGGCTGTGGCGTAGTGTTCGATGTTTTTGTGATCAGTCCAGATCGTGATTGGGTAAGGACTGCCTATTATGTAGTGTTCCCATTCTCGTAGTGCTCGGATAACTGCGAGCATTTCCATATTGAATATGTCGTAATTTCGTTCCGCAGGTGAGAATGTTTCTGAGATGAAGGCAATCGGATGTAGTTCGCCATTTTCATCTTCTTGCATGAGAACTCCGCCTGTAGCCACACCTGACGCATCCGTAGCAATGATCCACGGTTTTTCTAAATCAGGTAATCTGAGTACGGGTGACTCGGTGAACTTTTTCTTTAAGGTTTCGAAGGCTTCCTTCTGCTCAGGTCCCCATACCCATGGTTTCTTTCCCGTTATGTCGGACAATGGTTTTGCAATTGTTCCGTAGTTCAAGATAAATCGTCGGTAATAGTTAGCTATTCCGAGGAAACTCTTGAGTCGTGACTTCTTCTTTGCATCTATCCATTCTTGTCGTCCGAGTTCTCCTCTGTTTGGAATATTCTTGGGAATGAAGTCGTCTGGGCTTTCCCAATCTAAAATTGGCTGTACTCTTTTCGGGTTCATCTTAACCATTCGGTAGCTGAAAATATGTCCGAGGAATAAAATTTCCGTTTGCTTGAATAGACATTTTTCTGGATTAAGATATAGTTTATGCTTTCTCAGCATATCGAGTACAATTTTGACGTATGCATCATGGGATTCTTCGTCCTCCGTGTAGATGAGTAAGTCGTCCATATAGATTACAAGCCATCCTTTATTAATGTGGTCTTGAAATATGTCGTCCATGAACACCTGAAATGTTGCAGGAGAATTGCATAATCCAAAATACATAACGTTCGGCTCGAATAAACCTAAAGGGGTGATAAAGGCTGCTTTCCATCGATCCTCGGGCTTAATACGGATATTATTATAGCCATTCTTGAGATCGAACTTTGTGTAGTATTTTCCCTTTACGAGCTTATCAAAAAGATCTTGAATTCTCGGTAATGGATAAGCATTTTTCTTCATGTGTAAATTCACATATCTATAGTCCTGCACTGGTCGGAGTTTTCCTCCGTCCTTCTTGACGAAAAAGAAAGGTGCCGCTTGCGGTGACTTAGATCGTGTGATTTTCTTTGTTCGTAAACTTTCAGAAATAAATTCCTCTAGAGCTTTCTGGTTTTCCGGTTTCATTGAGTAATTCTTTGCTCGTTGAGGTTTGAAAGTATCTTCAAGTTCGATATGGTGGTCATACTCTCGTTCTGGCGGAAACTCGAATTCTCCTTCACTGAATATATCTTCATATTCCCAAAACTGTTTCGGTATCTTTTGTCTGAGTGACACTGCGGCTGTCTTGTTCCTGAGAACCGGTGGAATGGTAACGAGTTTTCCGATCCGGTAGCTCGAGTCATCACCTGTCAGACCGACTAATCGAATGTGGCGTCCATCAGGAACCTTAAGAGTTCCTTTTTTGTAGTTGATGGTAATTTGATTTCGAATTAGCCACGGATGACCTAATATGATGTCATCCATTCCGAGTTTTGTGATAATGAAGGTTTCAGTGAAGTTTTTCCCTTTCAATTTGAAAGTTAATTTCGAAATTCGCCTTTTAATTTCCTTGGTGTTTCCGTTTGCCATCCGGATTCGTATCGTCTCATTTAGTTCTCTGATTGGAAGTTTCTTCCTTTCAGCGTATTCTGCATTAATAACTGATAGCTGAGATCCACTATCAATTAATGCTTTTGTTTCTATGAACCTGCCGCCAATTTGCGTTCGAAAAGGTAAATAAAATCCTTTTTGATTTTGGATCCCTGAAAAGATAGGGGCTATCCGGTGAGGATCCGCCTCCGATTCCCCATTTAAAAATCCTGAGAATCGGCGTCTTCCTCTGCCGCTATGTCGGTGGCATCAAGGGATTCATTGTCATCAATTTCTCGGACGTTTCGGGATTTCCCGTAACTGCGTTGTTGAAAGTTTCCCTTGTTTCGGTTCTGTTTCCTCGGGGGTTCTTTCGGTTGACCTGGTACCGGCGGTAGTTTTCCTCCTAGCTCGGAATAATGTTCATGCTGCATATGTCCGGTCTTGTGACATAGATAGCATTTACCTTGTTTTCGGTATTCCTTGCGCTTTTGGAAATCAATCGTATCCACATCCATGGCATTGGGATCTCGTTGGTGAGATCTATTTCCGCTGTTGTTATGCGAGTGGGATGATTGATTTCTATAGAGTGATGCCTCCGGTAATTTGTGTCCTAAGGCTACCGAGTATTGCCTTCTCCAGTTGTAGGCTTCCGTAACCTCGGGTATCCAATCGGCTAATGTTTCAGGAGGTTTTCCGCGATTAATAATTGATAACGCGAGATCTTGATCTAAACCTCTCATGAACATTTGAACGATTGTTTTGCCATCGGGTAATTTTGACCGCATGAAGGCTGATTGGAACTTCTGGATATAATCATCTAAAGTTCGGCACTTCTTCTGAGTTAAGGTTTGCATCTCCGAGATGGCCGAGTTTTCTTGGTCTAGGGGTTTGAATGATAACCAAAATTGTTCACCAAACTCCTCCCATGTTCCCCAGGCACTTTCTTTCTTTTTAGCACGGGCATACTGATATTCCCGTGCAAGAACCTTCTGGTAGAATGAATCTACCCATTCTCGTGCCGTTCCTTTGGTCATTCGTTGAGTAGCAAACTTAACCCATGATTCTTCTGTGTCGTATATCTCGTGATTTTCTTCTAAATATACTCTGACAGAAATGAACCATCTGACTGCGTCCTTTCGATTCCCATCAAAGTGAATGGGATCTCCGATGCGTTTCTCCTTTGGATATGATCTCCTTTGACTGTTATCTCCTGTTCCGGAGTTATCAGGATTTCTGGGATTTCTAGGGCCTGGCCCGTTTGGTCCGCTTGGATCGCCTGAGTCATCCGGATCATCTGGATCGTCCGGATCGCCTGATCCTCCTGGATTGTCTGGTCCCTTATCTGGCTGTTTTCCCTTATCGGTAAACTTTCTGAGTTTGGGATTCCAGACCCTTGGTGTTCCTATTCCTAAATGAGGAGCTGAATCTCGTCCCAGTTCTCGGACTTTGTCTTGGGCGTCTACTAGGTTTTCGTTGGCTATTTTGTTTTCGTCTTCTAGCACCTTAATCCTTGCTAGCGCATGTTGAAAGATTAAATTGCACTCGAGTGTATCTCTGTCAAGAGTTCTCGCAAATAGTCTTTCATATTTCATGTCTTTAAGGAATTCCGTGCTTTCCTTCTGGCCTTCGGTTGCGTCTTCTTTTTCCGAGTACATTGAATCAGGTGAATCACTTCTTTTGATTACTTTATACTTTCTTCAATTATATGCTGATGCGTATGGATCGGTTGCTGTAACCGTTCCGGATCTTGTTCTGTGAAGAGTGCTGGTACTCGTTGAAGCACCTTCATCCCCTTGAGTTATCGTAGTTGAGCCGGTCATTATCGTTGGATAAAGAACGTGGTCTTTCCTTATTGGTGAGACTAGTTCTTTTGTTATGGTTCGGAACCTCGTAGATTACTATTACGATGTTCTGATAACTATGTTCGTATACGCCTGGTGCGTATGGTTCAAAGAGATCTAATCTCTTAGGTCTTGTTATCTTATCTTTCGTGATGTCGGTTATCGATAGTCCTTGACTATGATCTTAGAGCGAGTTCGAGATGTACGTAGTAATAGAGGTAGAACTAGTCTGAGGTCTTAGGCCTCGTACATGAGGGTTTATATACCTATTCTACTAGTTGCTTACTAAGAAGGTCGAATGAGTCACATTGACTCATGAGACGTGAAGAGCGAATCAAGAGGACTCGCATTAATAGTACTAATACAGTCAAGGGTCCGAGAATGAGTTGCTACCGAGAATATGAGTCGTAAGGACTCATGGTTCGTAATCAAGCCGTTATGACTCATAAGGAGTCAAAGATGTTACAAAGAAACAGATAGAATGAAATAGAATCTACTAGTAGTGTCCAGTTGCTGAT